TATGGCAAAATAGTGCAATTACAGCTGGCATTTCTGCATGCTGATTTTTATTAGTTTTGTAAGATATTTTGTCAGGATTCATTTGTGCTGATCCCCCCCTTTCATGCCATAAACTGTAAGCAATTGTAGACAGAGAGAAGGAATCTCTTGGCACATTTCTTCAGAGATACACTCCAGGAGGTGTGATAAATCAGGTATACTAAATTAAAACAGAACTGGTCTGTTACCTGATAAACATGTGGACTTACTAAGTATTTAATTGTATTAGAGTTTAGTGCAATTATGGGTGAAAATCCTGTACATTCGCCATCAGATTTCCTACTATCAAAGCAAAGCAGACAAATCAGCACAAATAATCTCTTAAAAGTATTTAATAGCAGGATGCAGACAAAGGATGAGCAAATTACCCTTTTCTGTCATGTTTGATAACCAATTTTTGTGCCATTTATAATGGCTAATGTTTGCAGGGTGGCGGGGGAGGCTTCTGTCCTAAAGTCCCCTAGGGAGATGAGGCAGGCAACTCAGACAGGCAACCTGCCTTGACGTAGTGCAGACGGAGGCCCAGTACAGCAAAGAGCAAGGAGAAGGTCTGGCTGGGAACCCCAGAACATCACAGAACATAACCTCAAAAATAATTTCTCATCACTCTGGTCTGTACTGTTTTTAACTGCCAGACTTAAGACAAAATTCATGTGGCTGCTCATGTAAAATCCCCATAGCTTATACAATAAATGTAATATGAGACACAAAATTTAATACTTGCAATCGCTGTAAGCTACAGCAGTTTCTGTAGACTTCCGTGGAAGAAAGGGTGAAGACTTTTGCCACAAAGTGTTAAAAAACCACTGGGCTCTTCCTCTGTCACAGAGTAAGGTTTCGATCTTGCAAATAATTATAGACAAGCAAGATGCTTTCCAGCAGGACTTCTTTCAGCATTATTGTTTGAAAGAGCAGGAGTTCCTGTCGATACCTAGACCTGTGTTTATGCTGTGCTGCCCATCTCCAGTTCAGTCAAAAAATGTTTCCCCGTGAGCTCCAGGCATTACTGTGAGCAATCTCAGTAAAGCAGGATGACTTATAGGTGTCGAAAAAGTGGCCTGCTACAGAGTGACTGCACAGGGAAAGACCAAGGGGAAAAAAAAGAGGAACCTGTGTTTGTCAGGGCAGAGGTCTGCTTCTTCTCCCCATCCCTCACGGCTGCCGCTAGCATGCTGAGCATTGCGTCCTGCAGCGCAGCAATCCCAGCGCCGCTCCGGGGAGCAAGCGGTCCATCTCCGAGGCCAGAAGACAGACGGTCACTCAGGATGGGCATCCTCTCCTCCTCTGAAGAGCTTTATTTTTTCAGGCTTTGTATTCAAGAGAAAGAAACCTCTCCCTGAGCCTTTCCCGTAGGTTTCACTGCTGTCTAAGAGTGGTTGGCCGATACCACTCTTCAGCAAGCATGCTAACATAAGGAGCCCTGCAGCACCCGCAGCAGCCTCCTGTGAGTGATGCTGAGTAGCCAGGAGTCAGGAAGCAAATTTCCAGCTCTGAAGCCTGAGAAACAGTGGAATAAAGAGAGAAAGGGGAAGATTAGATGTATAGTAACAGAAGACTTGTCAGCCAGATAGGATTTTAGGAGTTTCATTATTATATGTAACACATAAGACTATACAAATACAAAGACATATATAATACACAAACAATGAGAGGTGGGCACAAAGCTGGATGGTGAAGGTTAGATTGGTAGAAGGACCTAAAATATCGATATTATTCCCAACTTGCATATATTTCCTTAAGACCACAGTAGGTGGATGACTTAATAACCATCCTCTCCAGGCATTATGGAAAGATTATAAAAAGCAACAGCCCTCCTTTTAAAATTATTTTGATTTATTTTTATCTAGCAGAAGTGGCCAAGTACATCTTTAGCATGATCCCATTTGGCTCGATGATGTTGCAGAGCTATGAAATCACTATGAGAAGAACAACTCTTTCTGTGCCCTGAAGAACATAAAAGCCTTGGTGCCTAGCTGGAAAGCAAATACTTCTTGCTCAAGCCGCTTATGTTTTTCTACTTGAGAAAAATTAAAATCTCATCTTATTTCTTTGCATGCACTTGTCATCCACTCAGAGTTTTATCCAAATAAATCTCTGGTTCTTTTCAAAGAACATCTTCTGTCTGAGTTGCATTAGCTTTAAAGACTCACCAAGAACAGAGCGGTACAGGCTGACAGTCTTGGTTTCCAGCATAGAAGCAACTGCATGAATCTTATCCCAGAATTCTGCAGCTCGGTTAATTAAGTATTTGATGTCCCGAGAAGCTGCTGCCTCCCCACGCCAAGGAGAGGTAGCCGCCAGGCCCCGTTCCCATCTTTGGCCACCAGACACGGTGACGTTCAGAGACTTTCCACCCATCACACTGTGTTACACAGCTCTTCCCCTGTCCCCAGCCCACAGAGTTGGTGAAATTAAATAGCATGCAAAATTAACCCCACCGTTGTTGGAATGCAGCTGGCCTCATTCGCTGCTCCAGGAGAATATGTATTTGCTGCTTCGGTAGCGGGGGCTCTGTGGACGAGGCAGAGGCAGCCCAGGGAGCACAAACCCGGGGGATCACCTCTGCAGCCCCACATCCCTGCCTGCTCTCCGGGTACCCTCAGCCACCTCAGGCGCTATGCACAGGATGATTTCAGATTTCTTTCTTTCCCTGTCTTGTCTGCTGTCCATCCCATGCTGCCCACCACCCCTTCTGCTCTTCTTTCTCTCTTCTCTCTCTCTTGCTGCAGCCTTTCCAGTGCTGTCCTGCCATCCCATCCCTGGTTTTGTCAGGTTCATCACCTGCAGCCTCACTTCACCTTGCTTTTCACCTCTGCTGGCCCTCCCCTTCTCCACTTCTGCTGCACAAAACATGTCTCCTGAAAAACAGAAGAGAAACAAAGAGATACATGGAACAACGCATACACAAATATACCCACAGCAGCTCGGGTTCCTGGATTAGTGCGTACGCCTCGTCGCCTGCTGCTTTCTCCTTTGTCTCTTGATTCCTCCATCATGTCATCTTCACCTCATGGTAAATCAGTGGGATGAAGACTAACTTTTAATTCCTTTGTCAGGTGCCCAAGTATTGCCCAGATCTTCCTTTGGGGCACATAGTTTTCCAGTACTTCTCTTTTAACAATCACAGAAAAGAGAGAGAGAGAGATTAATACAGAGAAAAGTTTTACTTAGCTACAAAATGCTTTCCTTTTATAACTTTCAGCATGATTGGCAGATAGGTTTATTTAATCAAATTGCCTTTTCTGTCACTGTATTATTTAATGAGGGAGTTCTTTTTTTGATTGCATAGGAAATGTGGAAGCATTAGAGAATTTCTGATGTGCTATTTACTCATCCATTATGTTGGGAATCAGTTTAATTTCAATGTCAGCAGTGGAATTAATAATCATAACAGTTATCTGTCACAGAATTATCTATTTGGGGATTTTGTCAGCAAACCAGGATATATCCCCCCCCCCTTTCACCAGAGAAGGAAGTTTTAAAAAATAAGTCAAATTTGAATGTGTGTTTGTTTTGATTATCCCATCCACACTGATGGTAAAGGCCCACTTATTTCACTCTGAGTTTCTCAAACACTTCCATCAAGGATGGTTCTCCCATTAAAGTGCACCCTCCCTTCCTGGAGAAAAAAAAAAAAAAAAAAGACAGTCCTAGCTTTCCAGAGAGAATGCGAAACCCCCTTTTGGCAGTTAATTTGGGCTGACTTTGTTTTATTTTTGGTGTTGTGCTTCACCATTGGACAAACAGGCTTCCTATGTGAGAGCAGGGGAGAGCTTGAGAGGACGGATGGACAAACATGAGGGAGACAGACAGGGCCCAAATCTGGCTCTGCTCCTTTTAGGGTTCCTTTTATTCTGTGGTTATGTGCAGCCCCACATAAGTAAATAACTGATAAATGAATAAAACCTTTCAGCTGATATATTTGAAAAGTACCAAGACTTTTTATATGACTCCAAAGTAAGGGCAGTAACTGTTAAATGAATTGCTTTTTAAATAAAACACATAAGAGAAATTTTTAAATCCTTCATTGTTCCTTAAAATGTTTTAGTGCCTCATTAATTCTTGATTAGCCTGGTTGTTAAGAGGCCATTATTATGTGGTAATAAGGTGTAGGAAATTACCTCTAGGACTATAGTCATGTCACACAGATGTGCTATAGTTAGCACCTCATCAGGTGCTGAGACCAAGTGCCAGTGGTGTAAATTAGGGGTTGGCTGCCTGGTGGTGGGGCTCATGGTGGTGGTCCTGGGTGATGAGGTGTTTCCTGAGATGATGGGAGTCCTCTGGTGCAGAAAAGTGGAGAAGACCTGACAAAATATAACCCTCCCAGCAGCCTCCTGTCCTTCAAGAGCTCCCCGGTCTTGCCTTGGGCAGAGCATGGAAACTGCTATAAACCAGTGGAATAAAATTACTTTGCAATTACATTCATTTAAGTAATTTCAAATATGCCTGAAGCTGGCGCAGATGAAAGTCCACTCTGTGCTGTATGATTTGTTAGGCAGAAATCGTCATAGGAGATTTGGTGCTGGTCCAGCAGAATATCCCCAAACGAATGACCTCCTCAGGTCATTAGTATTTCTTTTGAACGCACAACCCCCCTCAAAGCCTGATACAAATACTGGTAAAGCTAATCATTATTACCCTTTTACAAATAGGAAAATGAGCCTTAGAGGCTACTTTTATTGTGATTTGATGCAACATTAATCAGCATTCTCAAGAAGAGACATACTTGAATCTCCCGGGCTGCATTTATCTTTCATTGTGCATAATGCTTTTTTCCCCCCTAAATCTCTTTGACGTTGACGCTCTAATGCTTGCAGTATGCAGCTCCCATTCATGACCTATACAGGGAGCTAACGCGATACGGCAGCATCACCATCTTTGAAGAGCACCAAAGATGCTAATAATTAAAATACACAAAGTGCGCTCTCGCTAGTACTTTCCTCCTTATTCCTTCCCAGGTTTCGATCTTGGCACGGCAGATGAGGCTCAGTCCTCGGAGGAGGGAGAGCAGCTTGGCACCGACATCACTGCTGCCCCTCTGCCAGTGCGCAGGGGTGACGCTCTGCCACGTGTGCCAGTCCCTGCTCGCCTGCCTCTTCTTGCTGTCGGGTTTCAGGGGGTGTTCACACCTCAGGAGTGATGTCGGAGCAAAGCTGCAGGAGAGCTCTGCTTGTGCCTGAACCCCCAAAATGGGGCTATGGCCTGTGTTTCAGTCCTAAATATCCATGTTTGTGGTTAAATAGCTAGGCACTCGTTTCAGTGTGCTTTCACCCACATCTTCAACCTCTTCAAGCCCCCGTTGTGGTTGCTGCTTGCTCTTCGGACCACGTGTGATTCTGTCCCTTGCCGCAGCCCCGAGCACCATCCCGGCACTCCTTGGGGATGGACCCCGAGCTGCAGGCGGGGGAGAAGGGCACCTGCTGCTCGGCCCCATTTAACCCTTCATCAGCCTTAGAGCCGGAGCTGCGGGGAAACATCTCCGTACTTGGTATTTCAGCTGCTTCAGAAGCCAAAGTACCCCCAAAACCCGTGCAGGGTGGCTGTTGCAAGACATGGGCACTGCTCCCCCTCATCCCCAAGCCACCGAACCCCCTCCAAGCCAATTTTCACCCACCACTTCTCACTGTGATGAAGTACGCCCCTCAGCATGGCGCTTGGCTTTGGCTGATTTTGGGGGTGCCTGCCTGCCCAGTTGATGAGCCTCGGGGATCTGTGCGTGGAGCACTGTGGCAGCAGCAGACCCCCTCCGCAGCTGACAGGCGGTCGGGCACCATCACCTCACCTGCAGTTGTCACCCCAGGCACAGCCCCAGTGGTCCCAAGCTGGGGTGCAGAAGGCATCTAGCTGATGCTGCTTCATACATCTGCTGAAATGTATTTTTTAATATCCTGTGAGAATAATTAGCAGGGAATTCTCATAACTGGTACAAGGATGGGGAAAAACTCTACCAAAACCCAAGTATTTAAAGGGTACTTCTGAGTGCAGTTTCAGATCTCACAAGAACAAATGGAAGGAGCAATTACAGTCCAAACCAAAGACTGGTAGGAGTTAATAACTACATGAGCATAGCAGTCAAGAGTTAGGAGTCCCCGCATGACAAAAGTTTATTTAATCCTGCTCTAAACAAGCAATATAACAAATCCTTGTTAGGAATGAATGATCTCTCACACATAGCTTAAAATAATCAAATTTTGATTTAAAACACCAAAATAGGTCAGATGTTATGGGTTCTTCTGGAAGAAATTCAAATCGTCCAGTCCAATTTTATTTTTTATTTGTAACATTTTACAGATGAATAAATGCATTATTTACATAAAACCCGCTTGCCCCATTTCAGGCTGGAATGCGTGTTTGCCAGAGAATTACAGACTCAAACGTTGACATATTCTGCTCCAGTAGCTCCGCTGTGCCTGATAGAGAAATTGTTGTGCACAGAAGGATACCGTTTCAGCACCTCTTCACCTTCCCACCTTGTCTTCGGCCTTCTTTCACTTAAAATTTCCTCCTAGCACAGGCTCTAAAGGTGAAGTAGAGGCTGAAGAGCGTAAGATGTTGGGTCACGGCTACGTCTGAGGCAATGTCGATGGGTTCCCGGTTGGGACCTGGAGTTTCCTTCCCCAGTTCTGGATCTCATTGAACAGTGGGGTTTTGGACAACAACAGTGAATCTCTTTGCCTCGGTTTCTTCTTTCCCATTGAATGAGAATAGTCATGGGTTTGTTTACTTTTGACCTCACTGCGTGTTGGGAAATGCACCCATGCAGAGATCTCTCACTAGAAAATAGTGTGATAGAATACAGCCTGACAATAAATTGGTACCTGTGTGGGTAGGATGGGTCCTATTCCATAATAGTTAATGATCCTGGTAATAAGGAGAGTCAGTTCTTATGCTTTGGTGATCAGCTAGAAGGAAGAGGTGGAGAAAGTATCGATAAGAAAATTCTGGCAGACCTTTTGTTCACTCCTGCTTCTTCCCTGGCACTGCTTTGAATTGCATATAGACTTCAAGCATGAGACATTTATAAAAAACACGTAGTGAAGGCTGTTTGCTGCATCTTTGGAACAGTAAAAACTTTTCTGCTGTTAGTGTGAGGATAGCAGTGCACTGAAAAATACAGAATTATTTCTTTAGACTGATAAAGGCTCTGCTGGAGATGATAGTCTAAAGGTTTATAGAACTTCTGGAAAGTTATTTACATATTTCAAAGGTCTTTATTGTCAGTCTCCTACATTTGGCCTATTTTATTCAGTATTTTCATCGACCATCTCTGCTGTCTTCAGCGCACTAAAAATATTTAAGTGCCTGATAAACCATGTACATCTGAAGTATTTTCTATCAGTAAAAAAATCATTTGCCTTCAAGGTAATATAGTGAGCTAAATTAATTGCTGATGAAACTGGTTTTACTAGAGTGACACTGATGATGAAACTAACCCAGTATATTTAGTTTAGAAGATCCACTTTTGGATCATTAACATAGCTACTACTAAATTGAATTCTTCAGAAGTCAAGTGTCATCTCTCATATATATCACTTTTTAAATATATATTGCATAATACAGACACAATATTTGCTTACAAATTATTTGCATTTGTACTAAATTAACACATTATTATCTGTACTGTTTAATCTTACTTTAATATCAAACAGATAATTACCCACAGCTCTGTCAATATTAAGTCCTGCATATCTTATTTCCACAACCAAAAGTACTTCTGAAATAATGATTGTTTTGATTGTTCTCAATCTGACATCAAATAATAACATGTTAAATGATGCTTAATGACATTTTTTCAAAGGTGGAGACTGTTGTTAGATCCTGTAGGAGGCTATGTAGAATTCAGTTCCTGGGAACTCAGTATCAGATAATCATAAATTTCAAAGGCACAAACCAACCAACCAACCAACCAACCAGTTGAAAAATGGAGCAGTTTTGAGCAAGTGGTCTTAATTCTAGTTTGATTTTGGCACCCAACCCAACCCCGCCCCCCCCTCCCCCCCCAAAAAAAAAACCAAACAACCCAACAAAAAAAAAATTCCTTGAATTTCAGTCATGTAACAATCTGAGAATCCATTTCCTGCGTGCTTGGTTCATACCAACACTTGCTTACAACATGCTGTGGTATAGAAGTTTGCTCCTACGGATGGCAGTCTGACAGCTGATGACAGAAAAAAAAAATTCACAGAAAGCTTCAATTAACAGCCAATGAGTGGGGAAGAAAATGAAAGAAGCCAGTATGTTTTGTGGATGCAGATGAAACTTAAACCAAGGCTAGTTTAAGTACTTTGCAAACGGAATTAAATTAACTTCTGAATCAGTGTGGGTAATTGATACTTTGCTTGATACAATAAAAAATCATATGGGTCAACTGAAAAAAAAAAAATAGTTGTGTTCATTTTCTTGGCAAAATGAAAAAATATATTCAGGGCTAATCCTTTCATTTAGCTTACCTCACTCCAGAAAGCGCTTGGGCAGCTTTATTACAGCACTAGATGCAAACTTATTTTGAAATAATATTTTTGAAAGAAGAAAATGAAAGCATAGCATTTCAGAAATGTTGAAATTAATCATTTTACATAAAGATTAAATTTTTTAGTTATTTAGGGAACAGAATTTCTCAGATCTAGCAATTGCCAAGCATTTTGGCCAGTCCTCCACTGTTCTTGATGGCTGAACTATTTGTCAGAAAATTCCCCTCAGCTCTAAATCCCTCACACCAGACTCTAGTTAGAGCCTCATCCATGCTCGAGCCTTTGTGAAAAATGATTGTCGACATTTTTCTCAAGATGACTCAACACTTCGAAAGATTTAGGATGGCAGAAAGCATTATCAGACATCGTTTAGACTTCCAGATTATTATTTTTTACAAGATGGTTGCAGTAGTTAGCAGCTGGGTGGTAGAATTCGGCAATCAGAATACAATTGTGTCTAATTCATTTTTATACACTACTCCTATTAGTTAAAAAAGGATATTTCTTTGGAAGTGACATTACAGCCCTGACATATGATTTTTGAATATGACTTTTTCTCAGAAAGTGCCAGCATGGTACTGCCAGTATGCCAAGCCGGTGTCCAGAAGAAAATTTAAGAGCAGTGATAAAATGAAAGGGGAAAATAGAAGCCCTTCTTGCAAACAGGGGTTTGTAATAGGTATTCTGACATGATATGAATGATGAGGGATGGAAAATTCATAATGGTGTGTAGAAGTGCAACACACACTCTATGTGTAGAAGACTGACCTATAACTCATAAGATAGTGTGTGTCAAGTGAGTTATGAGAGTTGTTCCCTGGTGTATATTTAAAAAGAGACATTAGAAAGGAGATATAGCATGGTTTACTGTTTGAGAGCTAACTTCATAATTTTGTCCAAAAAGTCTTTTTAAAGAAAAAATACTTTTTTTTTTTTTTTTTAAATATACATATATATTGCAGTCCAGGTGGTGTATTTCTGCACGGCACATGCAGGATCTGAATGCTGGGAGTAAAAGCCTTTCCCCTCTCTGAAGGAGCAGCCCTCAGTCGATCATTTCTGCTGTTGCAATGCCCAAAGGAGATTATTTCTAAGGAAGAGGAATTTCCCGTTTTAACTCCTAGAAGGGGTTATCTCAAAGTGAAGCAAGCAGGCCCAAAGTGCCTGGTGCCATCAGACCCCAGGGCAGCAGAGGGTCTGTGCCAGGAAGCCCACGGACAACCTGAGTGCACACCTCGACCAGACCTGCAAAATGCAATTTAAACGAACGGGATCCCACGTGAGCACCCATCCCTTCAGTGCAGCTAAGGAATTAGCTGACCACCGCTCCCACAGCCTGCACGTATTTTTCTCCCCTCGGCAGTGAAGTCCAGGGCCGTGTGCTGGCCCCAGGTGCCTCCAGCTCCCCTGCCCCTGCAGCACCTGAGCAGCCCCTTCCCTCCCTCAGCCCACCCGCAGGAAAACCCGACAACTCCTCCTGTATTTTGGTGGGACTGCTGTCATATCGGAGATGTCTGCCCCGTTGGGATTAGCTTCTCCCCTTTCAGCATCTTGTGATCACAAGAGAAGCAGAGAGGAGAAAAGAGAATGCTATCACTAATGCACCATCTCCTAATAAGTTCGTTAGCGTGCTGAGCTTAGTAAAAATGTTGGAAACGCCCTGGCCGTG